TTTTCTAGAGTTTTAGTCCAAGACTGCCGTCAAGCACGAGCGGAATGGGGACTTCCTTTGCGACCACTTACGTCCCCCCCCTCACTAGGGATACGCAACGTACGTGTCCTGAACATAAGGACCACTGATAAATCATGATCCCGATGGAAATTCATCTCTCAAGTTACCTAGGAGAGCCTAAGGCTTGTTTCCTATAACCGTTTCCCCACGAACTCAACAAAGTGGTTTGACTGGCCCTCTCAATTTCCTTCCTTCACTCTATTTATTGACATTTTCGCATTAAGAGATAGGCTTAGCCTCTGTCCCAGTGGTCCCTGTGGCCATTGCATGCATCCTTAGACTTTGTGAGTTGGTCGCTCTGATTGTGAAGTATGCGCGTTCGCACAAATCGCTAAAACGTTAAAGGGCATCTGGATCTATTCAGAGCCCCTTCCCGTGTGGGCTTCTCCCATGCACTTTTCTCCCATTTGTCACTTTTTCAACAGGATCAGTTGCCGACATCATATTAATCATGCGCTCAGAGCTTTTTTGGACGCTCGCCCACATGTGGCCTTGTTCTCGACGTTCTTCCTCGTCTAACCAGAAGAACGACAACACTAAAAACACCTCCCACTCGCTGGCTCCGCCTATTCTCTGAGTTCAACCTCATCGGCAAGCAGCTATAATATGAGGTTTTTATTGCTAGATGGGCTTGGCTAGACTGGAATAACATAAGCATCGCGAGATGCGAACAGGTGATGTCAGTACGACCCCCCCCCTCACCTTGTCCGGGACGACTTCCTCAATTTTCCAAGATTCTGCCATTTTTTTCGAGAATGCCGTCGGCTCGGAGGGGGGGGGGAATGTCCTCAATGATCACTGATAATATTTCGGCTAATAGAAATAGAAAGTGCATATCACTTCAACGGCACCCAACTAGGAAGGGGGAGAGTACAGCGTATATGAAACGGGAAAAAAATCGGGGAGTTCAACAACCGGAAAAAGTCGTAGTTGTATCTGGCGGCGAGAAAAGCCAGATACGACTTCCAGCGACCAAGTACCACTCCCTGACCCCCTCTCTCCCTGGTTGGACAGAGATATAACAACAATTGTCTCAAAATGACAACACCCCTCCAGAAGCATATTCGACTTTACTTTGAAATGAGGTACGCAGCCACGCCTTCCCCGTCTCAGGGATATGAAGTGGCAAATACAATATAATAGCGATAGAAAGACAAGCTTAGTTAGTAGCCAGTATAACCGCCAGTACCTCAAGTGTTTGTCCATTTATCATCCATTTGAACTGTGGGCTGCCTTTAGCGGCTACATCAACCTTAATAGGTTCGCCCAATGTTGCTTGAATATCCTTCAATTGTTCTGTGAGTTCTGGCTTTTCGATGACTTTCATTTCGCATCTGAAATTAGAGCGATTCGTAGCAGTTCGGTCAAATGCTAAAGAACCAGTGACTTACTTTGTCTCTACTGAGCCGGTTTCGTTCGACGCTTTAACGGAGATCGTACCCGTTGGATACACTGATGAGTCGATCGTTAATTTATATACATATTTCGTCTCCTCAACGATTTTCACTCCTGAAAACAGTTCGGCCCATTAATTTCCGTCAGAGCGGTGTTAAGACTTCGCGGTATCGCGCGTCGACGCGCTGTGACGCGCCATAACACGCGTCGACGCGCTACAATTCAACAGCGATATAATGCTAGAGACGCGAACGCAGCCGCAGACAGGAATCGGTCGACGCCGACTGCTCGTATATTGAGGGAGTATATGAGGAGAGGAAAAGCGTTGCCCAATCGCACAATCTGGTATCGATCGGCACTAGCCGCCAGGGTTTTGGGAGAGTACCGGATCGTGTGAAGGGAGCCTCTGCCCTCCTGTTGTCCTACACTCTCTCCAAACACAGCGGCGACACCACTCGATTCCCGCCTGCGGCTACTAGGATTGGAGCGCTATTGCAATTGTAGCGCGTCGACGAGCACTATCGCGAAGTCTGAACGCTACCTTAGTAACGCTCGACTACCATAATCGCGTCTTACTGTAGCTCACCTTCAGTCGTCATTTTCAATTCGGTGCCATTATGGTACCATCGGGTGTCGGTGGCATGTTCGATGACGACCTCAAAGCGGCCCTGCTCGCCCTTCACAACTGTCTGATCTTTGAGATCCCGCATGATCTTGGGCATCTGTAAAGGGAACATTTAAGTGTTAGACGATTCCTAGTCAGTACGACCTTCAGATGAGCCTCGGCCTGTACAGGACTCAGTAACTGGTGTACTGTAAAATCTGTATGGTTGTTAGGACCGTTGCAACTGAACTTTCAACGCCAACCACGTAAGTAAAGCTGTCTAGGCTAAAGCAGTCTACCTCGGTGGTCGGCTTTGTCTCGGCTGCTTCCGGCGCCTGCAGCACTTCCGTGCCGCTTTCTGTGGTCGCTTGCATCTGCTCAGAGACCTGCTCGGTGGTGGTGACCTGAGCAGTTGGCTCTGTAGTGATCTGTGTTTCCTGATGGAATTCCTCCTTCATCGTCTCCTCACTTACGACCGCTTTCGATGGAGCCATTTCGATCTTCAAAGCAGGTTTTAAATTAGCAAATCAATCAGCACTAACAGCTACATAAAGCGTTGATGGGTTAGGGTCTGCTGTGACCTTAAACACTATGAAAGCCCAGAACAAATTGAAAAAAGCCAAAGGACAACCGAAAATGTTACTAAGCTATTGTTTTTTGTACTACAGAACAGGCGGGACAGATATTCCACGCTGCGACGAAAACGACGCGGCAAATAGATTCGCGCGCGCGGCATTCGCACCGAAACCTCGTTGATTTATAGCAAAAGCCGTTGAACTGATCAGATCGCTTCTCAGCATCGCCGCAACGTGGATGTTCTGATCCGCACCCTATTAAAAAGCACCACGAAAAGAAGCAGGTGTTATTGCGTTAGTGCGGTCAACTCTGGCAAGCCGCCAAAATCGATGCCACGGTATTTGCTCAAAGTTACCTGTGACATCTCTATTTTGCCCTCTTGGATGGTTTCTTCAGTAGAAGTCTTGGTTTCAGATACTTCTACCTGCTGCTCTGTTACCTTAACGATGACGACTTTGACGGCTATAAAGCAGTTAGTTCTACAGGAGTAACGGGTTACTCGTTGCCGCTACCAGAAAAGCACGCTCTATAGAAGCGTATACTAGTACACCTTATTTGATACAGTGGGATACGAACTTGGAAAACTTTTTTGAAAGTAGATTTTACGACAGATTGTCTGCCAAGGCTGTAGTAGTGACTGCCGCCAGGTACTTACCTTCTTCTCCTCAACGGTAAGTCGAGCGCCGGTCTCGTCCGCTCCGAGACTGTTCTCGGCGACCACAGAGATAGTCGACGAGGCCGAATGTACGTTGGTATCGACAATCAGCACCGACACACCATCGACCATCTCGACACGACATCCCTCAGTACTTTCACGGACCTGTAATCAATCGATACTCGATCTTATACAGACCTTATAGGTGGTCTCATGAGGCGACATGCACGGACAGCCTTCAGTTCGACGTACCCATAAAATGACCTAAAGGACGTCCCAAATAGCGCAGGCTCGATAGCGGACCCTGTCACCGAGCAGAATGAAGGCCAAAGAATAGGAAGAAGACTCCTTTCATAGTCACGTCCACGAAGCCTTTGACCATTTAGACACTAAGTGTTCACTGTCTTTCAAGGAATTGTTCTGGTGGGAAGGATTCGGCAGGAAAACGGGTCACAGATGTGACTTGGAAGTTAGTGATCAGCAAGTGCAGCAGGGAATATCTACATGCGGCTCTCTAATCCTCAAATCTGGTTCCCTCCTGTGGGTAGGATCACAGTCCACCCTACGTATGGGGCGGGTCAGGTATGGCCACTGTGCCTGTACGCGCTAATAAGGAGTGCGCATCAAGGAAGTTCCAATCGTCCATAGTGACCATGCAGGCGTGGTATAGCATTCATTGGAAATTACACAGGAACGCACGAGGAAGTCTGACTACCGCTTTCAAAAGGGCTGCTAATGGCCCCTCCCAAGCCCAACACAGCTGGGTCATGCTTGGGCCTGATAGCAGCACCATTGCTCGCGGTACAGGCCCAGGGCGGGGGAGGGTGCAGTTGTGGCGCTAACCACCTAATGACGGAAACGTTCAGTCTCCGACTAAGCGCTCTAATCGCTCGATGGAAAAACTGCCCCAGGAGCAGCTACGGCAGCGTACGGTGAGTTCTCACAACTAACAGAATACCGTATCCCTACCACAATTAAACAAAGTCCCCTGAAAATTCGAAAGATTCGAAAAAAATGCACGACTGGGGTTCACCGGCGATACATAAAAAATGGATGTGTACAGCGAGCACAGCTCACCTTTCTCCCATCGATTGACCATTGGTATGTAGGAGCAGGATTAGCGTCTGCATGTGCCTCGAACCTCGCCTCGGATCCTCTGAAATAGAAAAATCAAGCGAATTTTTAAAAATGTGCATCCATAACCTGATTCTATATCCTATTCTAAACAGTGAAATGTGTACGGTACCTTTCGACAGTCAAGCTCTTTGGTTGCTTGTCGAACGAGGGTGGGAACGGTTTTCGATTCACTCCAAGTTGAGCGGTTGAAATGGCTGAACCTTCGGAATTTGTCGCTTGACATCGGACCTCGCCAGCATCTTCCAGCTTGATCCCTCGCAGCTCAAGTTTCACTGATCCGTCAAAATCGCGGATGATAATGTTCTGAAAAACTCCCTTGAGCACGCTTGTCAAAATTCAGGCATCAATCATTAATTGACGAGACTGGGATGTAGCAGCCAGGCTAGGCCGAGTTTTTGATTTGCCCCTTACTAACCCTTTTTTTGCTACAAAACTAGATCTATTCGTAGAATAGTGGACTTTCCATGAGTCTTTACTTTGCTATTAGTATTTATTATAGTTCCGATTTATATATACTAAACGCTGCTCAATTCTATTGGGCCACAAAAGACATTTGTGCCCAATCAAACATTCACGTAGTGTGCGGGTACATGGCCACGTCCAGCTTCGTCAAGATTTGCAAAAATTACCGACACCCTCCGTAAAGCTTCTTCATATGACAAACCCCCTTCTCCATTCCCCCACCCCTACCATCCACGAACTTACCCAAAATTCCCCGCTCCACCGCCATTCATCCTTTTCTTTCTTTCCCCAGAAAACTGCGATCGATAGATCACATAATCTTCTGACGACACATTTGAATAGGAAAATACACTCAAAGTCAAAAACCGAAAACATCTTTCTGAAGCCACAATACGAACGGCCCCGCCCCTCTGGCAGCAAACTAATAGCCACTCCAGATGGCCCCCTAGTTAGGGATCCTTAGCGTGAAAGGGTAGAAAAAGACTCCGGAGTTCAGATAACCAACCTAGAGCACGGTGATTCAACTGGGGTGAGAACCCCAGTTCCGCACAAGAGGTCCGTTAAATTCTTCTACCCCCTCCCCCACCACTAAAGATTATTACCGTCCACTACTACATTACCATTCGATTGATTTTTTTATGAAGACAGTTTTATGAACTAACAACCGCTCCCTTCGTCAAACTTTCATCTTTTCTTTTTTGACATTTTCACTGCTTTCCTTACTATAAAATCTCTCCTGTCCTACTCCCCAGTTTTACAATTCCCCTCCCCACCTATTTCCTGCTCTTACCTCTGAACTGGTGATCTCCACGTCTTTCAGGAACCATTTGATGTCAGGTTTGGGTTCAGCTTCAAGTCGTGCCTAAATCAATCAGATGACAGTCATTCCCAACATTATCTTTGGAGGAGTCAGCTGGTGATGTACGTGATGGCAAAGCAAAACAAAAATAGCAGTCGATGTCACCTCAAACGCACAGGACCGCTTTCGACTTCCGTTTTATCGCTAAGCAATTCGGTGAATCGTGGCGCTTTCTTTGGCTTCTCCTGAGGGATGACCGTCAGACGAGCTTTTGTCTCGAAACGGCCAACGACATTTTCAGCCCTTGAAAAATAGTCAATTATTGTGAAAATTATAGCGTACACCATGAGATATGCAATTGGGGACAGAAAGAGCAGCAGCAGTCCGCCTTGGTGGGGCCACCTAGTACCTCACTCGCACCGTTTCATATCTTCACAGGAATTTAGAGGTTCCACCAAAATGAAACCTCTGATTTGACATGAACTCAACAAGGAACATGCGATGGTACAAAATGTCCCCTCCAAGCCGAACAGCGCCAAACTGATCAGTAAGAGTTGGATTTGGGACCTTAGATCCCTGCTGCGGCGGAGCTACATCATCTCGTCGCAATTTGACTCGACATATTGCGGCAGTTGATGTTAAATCAATCAGGTCCTGGTGCGAATGTCGCGCACGCGTCGCCCTTCGCAACTTCTCTATCGCCGTCCCCACCGGAACGAGGATATAACGCCCAAGGAGTGCATACCCAAGGAGTGACATCATTTACCTGCACAGCACAGTTCCTGCATATTGTGCTGAATCGATTGTGAGTTTGTGATCATGGTTGACGAACTGAAAGCGAAATATTGATTACCTATTATTGTTTACTTGTTTGTAGAAGACGTAGTAAACACAATACAATCAATAACTATGACTACAAAGGTTATTAAATGACACTAGCTCAAACCCTTCCAGGGTACCCGCTTGGCAGAAGAGAAAACCGGAGAAATTACAGTAATCTGGAGAGGAACAGTTACAGTAACCTCAGTAATTAGACGCTCAATTATCAGTTACTGGTCCGGCCATTAGTAACAGCTACAGTGATCCCAAACCACAGTAATCCAAAATTTTGACCATAGTTATAGGCCCTAAATTTATCCTAGGCACTGCACTTGAAACTAAAAATCGATATGACGCCATCACGTCAAAATGAGGGCTTAAGAAACATAATCATTATTTCCGTGAGAAATAAATTACAGAAAAAGGTTGTTAATAAGAATACCGAGAATAAGGTTTACCGTACCTCGATTTTCACTCCAGGAGTGTCTTTGTCCATCTTCACCCCGTTTATGAACCACGTCACCTCAGGATTTGGACTGCCTCGAACTGTGGTCTCAAAGACCGCGTGCACACCGTACTTGACGGTCTGAAAACGAAAAAAAATATAAATTTTTTGGAAAAAATTCTCGCTGATATAGCACAAGTAAGCGGTCCTGTGCGTTACCTATTAAGGGATGGATGACGTGTCAATGACGTCATTTAACACGCGAATGACGTGTCTTGAGACGTCACGTCAATAAGACAATGCAGATTTCCCTTACAGGTTATTAACGTGCTATGACGTCAGTAATACGTCATCAGCTATAACCTCAATAACACGTCCTCGCTTAACAAGCAACGGAACTAGACTGGGCCAAAAATCTAATTACAACTACTTACCTATATATACAGATAAAGTTTTAGTATAGCTCGACGTTGAGGGAGGGCAAAGGGTGCAGGGTTGAAGGAGGAGAATGTGGCTGCCTCAACAGAGGCACAGTTGCCCAAGTTGCAGCAGTGGCAAACACACACACATAACATTCTCCGACACACAACGCATGTGAATTCCGTTTTTACAGCGCCGACATATCAATAAACAGACGCATGCCAGATGGGGGGTGCCATTGTGGAGAAAGACGACACCACGAATAGGACAACAACTATGCAGTATACGATAGTTCTTAAGTGGTTTAATGGTGTAAGTTCTCGTCAAGTGCAGCTGTAAGTGCAGATAAAAAGCTCTGCCTCGCCATTCAGAAAAAAAGAGAAACTCTCCGCAATCAATCCGGCTTTGCTAAGAGTTCAACTGACAGTTAAACGAAAACTTTGGGGATCATCAGGAGGTATGATATTGAGCTCTCCTCGTTGAATCCCATTTTGAACGCGCCACGCTTTCAACTTTCTGCGCTAATGAGCTTGGGGTGTCTCGAGCCTGCTTTGTCAAGTATGAGTGTGTGGTGTTATGTGGTGTTTTTGTTTGTTTTGCCGTACTTACATCGTGTCTAACCTGCAAGTACTTGTATACGTTCCTGTCAAGTACCTCGTTAAAGTTCCTGGTCAGCGTAACAAAAATGGTGCTAAGGTATTTTGAACGCTATTTCTCCATTTTCTTCCACATCCTGACCAGTTCTTTTGACAAGTTTGACAAGAGTTCACACGGTAGTTGACAGGGGATAACAAGGTTTACAAGGTGTTGACAAGGTTGAGCGGTACTCACATGTATGCACTTTACAGGATTTGGCATGCTGACAAGCGGTAACAGGTGAGGCGCCTCCCCCTTTTTTTTTAAGACCCCTAGTGATACTCTGGGTGTTTTTCAGATCATAGAATAGCTTTAGGGACCATGGATGTATAGGGCAGTGTTTTTCCGTCGCCGGCTGTCTTTCGCCAATACGGACAAGCTTTTGACTTCAAGTGGATAAGCTTTTAATGACAGAGTGAGTGAGTGACTTTCGCAAGCTCTTCGAGAAAAGAGTTGGTAAAGTTGGATAAACTTGAGGAAGCGTGGTGGTGAAAAACGGAACAGGTGACGTTGGCGAGAGATTCTCTAAAGGACTGGACAGAAAAAGGCGCGATTCGATCGACACTAACTTTCGGCCTCCTTCATATATTTTCGTCATTTTGAGGTCTACGATCTTGAGGTAGCGGTATCCGCTACGTAAAAGTGAACAACAAAAAAGTAAGCAAATAAACATGTACCAGTTGTTTATCTTCCAAGTCCTTTTCTCTACCAATCATGAGAATCTTGTAAAAGATTTCAAGAACTGGCCACCTTAAAGTCTACAATGGGGAGGTGATGGGCGAGAGCCAGCTCCTGCTTATCGAGGAACATCTTGGGTATCTTTCGCCCTGGTACTCGTATCCACATCTTCTCTCTGGGCTGCAAAACTTTGCTTTTGATATGTGATCGGTCGAAGTTGACTTTTTTTGATATTGTATATTAGTTGTCATGAAACAGCCGTTATACGGCCAATGATCCCGCCGAACCTTCGCTTTACTGCCCCTCCCCCCATACCCCCCAACTGCTGCTCTAGCTGCCTCACCAACAGTAGCGCTAGAATTATAACCAAAATGGTGAGATTCGCAGTCCTGTGAAATAGCATAAGGTTCAGAAGGGCTCATTTGCTCGCAACAGGTATGCGCTACAGCCTCGTTCGCTGCGGCCGGATGCGATCTAGGCCGGTGGCGCTTTGGGGGAGGGGGGCTAGTTTGGTGCGTAGGCAACCCCGCTACAACATATTTTCGCTTGCACCCCTCAACAACTGATAAATGGGCTTTCGCCGCGCAAATTTAGTCCCCAACCCCCCCCCCGAAGCGATATAGGCATGCGCATAGAGAGTCGGACTTACGTATGCAGTGGCAGAACTCCCACTGGGACTGGAATCAGTACATAGCCCCGTAATGTGCCTCATTTCCTACTGAACTCACCGCCATTGATTAATAACCCGTTCATGGAACATGGGCCTTCCCGTGGAACACCTACTTTGAATTTGTTGATTCGGTACTTCGACGCAGTTCGGCGAGGGGAAGGGGCATTTTTCTTTCCATCGATGTGTCGACCCATCTAGATAGCCTTTTCTTGAGTTGACACGTTTTACCATGGTGGCTAGACGAGCTTGCTCCAGCTTCACAAGAGTTCACAAGTTTCATCAAAGTGAGTGTAAACCGAAACAGTGAAGCAGCGAAAGTGCAAAATGCACCCCGTCGCCGAACTGCGCCCTGTACTTCATCTAACTCCTTCAGTACCCCAGATCTGAGCTATTCGGATCCCTATTAAATGGCCTTTTCAACCAACGATGACACGATTACAACCTGACGCAGCAGCTGGTGTTTTGCGCACCCACGCCGCAGCTCGTATCCCTTCCTCGATGGGATTTATCGACTAACAAAGTATAACTCGTCCTTATCTGGTTTTTCACGCGTGTTTGACTCATCTCTACCTTCACTTTCGTCTACGCATGACCTATTTTCTGTTTTTTGGAAGAAGAGGGTTTTCTGGTAAAGGGAGTCCATCTTGGGCTCTACGGATTGAATCCTAGCGCAATCATTCCTTGGCTAAAATCTGGTTCATGTGGGGGACAACGTTTCGACAACCGTTCCATTTAAAATGTGTGAATTTTCCTTGCTTGCAAGCCGATTATGTCCATCTCTCGGCCACATTGGCAGGGCAAATCACTTAGAAATAAGCTTGCAGATGCCGTTAGCAGTAGGTTCACCCTGAGTTTCTAGAAACCTCTAGAAACCTCTGTGATCCCGCACTTCACCACTTTCACCCTAGAGGAAAACCAATAGAAAGACTCGCTGTTTACCTGGTCCTCAATGTCCTTGATGAACGTGGGAGCACTTCGTGATTCTTCCTCCATTGGCTCGACGGTCAGACGTGCTCGACTCTCCGCTGCACCATGTTCGTTCACGGCCCGGCAGATAATCTCGCCGTCGTGAGCGTCCATCGTACAACTGTTGATGATCACCTTGTAGTAGCCATCGGCGCCAGCGATTTCTACGCCATCAACGCCGTCGCCGTGTTTCAGCTGAAAAGGTCAAGGTTTCGGCAAATTAATATGAAATTACAGAACAGTGCACAGTTATCGCGCCATAAAAATCCTGCTGAACGTTTCCCACATACAGATTTCACTTCGGGCAACGCCTACTCACTACCCCATTCACGCCTACCCAGCTTTCTTTTCAAAATTTGCGCATCCAGCCGGGGGGATACCTAACATCAGAAAGTGGTAGTTTATTCCGTTCTCACGTGCCTGAGGCAATATAGTGAAACTGAACGGAAAAAAAATCGCAAAAAGTATTGTTTTAGCGGGAATAGACACCCCTGTGTTTTTATCAGAATTGTTATGTACGCATGTAGCAAAACCCAGGACTAATAAAAGCCTCATTTTAGTGCAACTTCAGTCGACATAAGGCAGGATATAATTACCTAAAGAGAACCCGCAATCCTAGAATCTTAATCCCTATTCACACTTTTATTAGTGTGCTTGACACTTATTAATTTTAAAACAAATTCTTACTCGGCTATCGAAAGATAAAACGAGTAAATGTGCGATCTTCATTACAGATAATTCAAGTTTTTTGCTGCAAGATGTTGGTCATGTGCCCTTTCTTTCTAATGTTGTTAGCGCTAAGATATCTAACCAGTAGTCGCAGTTGGAAGGGCGATTCACGCTGATCGTGCGGGCGGAGTAATTGCAGCAAAACCAGGCCTGCATTGTGCATTCTTCATCTGTGCCCCTTCCAGTGCAGTTTAGAAGGCAGGAACACACTAAGAGAAGACGGACAAAATTAAGCCTATGTCCGCCCATACGGATCAGAGATGAACTGTTATCTTATAAGCCAGTTGCGTACGCGTGCTGGCACTGGTGAAGCACTCTTCGTATGAACTCATTTAGCATTGTTAGATGACTGAAAAGAGTCGGTATATTCCTGAAGTCGTCTGGGACAAAATATGTGTGGGGGAAATTGCAAGATTGAATAATAGCTAAGTTGCTGGCATTTTTCGAGTAATACCTCAACTATTAACATTTTTTAATTAACTCTCCTTTACCATTAAAACCGAAATCCTGCTTAGTACACGATTGAAAAATTGTAAAATGATGTGAGTAAACAGCTTCTAAGCACATTCTTAATTTTATCAAGCTTTTTTGGCTAGTTTCGCATTTTTCGGCTTTACACTTTTATCAAGTAACAATATTGAATCCCGTTTAGCATACGTTTACACATAAAAGTGATGCATACGATGTGTATACAATTTTAATATTATATGGTATAAGATAAAATCGTAATGTCTTTTATACCGCGCGTCAGAAATCGCGTCGCGCTAATACAGCTGCGGTAACCAATGGGTTTAAAATACTCTCAGAACACTCACTTAACTCAACCTCGTAACAATTTCTAATGATTGCTAAAGCTACGCCGGCGACTGCTAAACAAGGAAGAGAAAAGAAGAAGATTAATTAAGCATTGTTGGGGAAGTGGCGACGATAGGCGCGGGGTCGCGGATTGGCGAGGGTCATGCGGGGGAGCCGATTGTGAATCGGTGCGCGAGCAGTCCTCCAATAAGCTCCATGGCAAAGAATGAGTCAGTTTAATCCAGCTATGGTTATTGATTACTAAAAAACTGTAAGAAATGTTTTGGCAGTTATAAAAACCTCCTCAGAAATACTGACCTCTTTTCCTTTCAAGTGGAATGTGACAGCAGGTTCTGGGTAGCCGAGAACGTCGACATCGAATGAGACCTAAAGTCATTTATCTTGGAGTGATTTGTCATTCAAGTTATCAAACCAGTAAGACTAAGAACTTGACAAAATTATCACCTTATAACTCTAAGGGAACAAGGACTCCTCGTGTGAAAACAAGGCTCCATTCCTCCTTGAACTTAGAGCAGAAGGTCTGCTTGAATGATTTCAGTTTTGCATGAGCGTCCTTCAACCCCCCCAATGCAAGTTATCTGTGGGCAGACTTGAGTAAAAAACAATAAATATGATATTCTCACCACAGAGTTTTCCTGTACAACTCGATCTTCCAGTGGCTTTGCAAATGATGGAGGTGCTGGTGGTACTCGCACTTTGAGGCGACCATCACAACTGGTCGTACCTAGTCGATTTGTGCCCTGAAAGTAGCAAAATGTAGTTAGCTGCGGCTACTAGTCCTCTCAAAGGCCAGCAGATCGGCTCATTCGAATAATAAGTACTAGAGAGGAGTCATTTGAAAGAGTGACTACTTGACAAGACGAGAGGTTATGGGCGTTAGAGCGGTACAAGGTAGCCTTGTTGATGTCCACGAAAAGCGCCAAGGATTACCAAGCACCCTCTGAATTGAGCAACACTTGCGGAGATGCGCAAGATATTCCGTTTTCTTGGATCGTTTCCCAGGAGTGTTTAACAGTCCGCTCAAGAACGGAGTAGAACAGTAGTAAGCGCGATTTAAGACGCATCCACACACAGATTGAACGCCACTCGGCGATTATGCAAGCCTCTCACGTCCTAGACACAGGCTAGTTTGGCACGCAACACTTGCGTTTGAATGCTTCAAGTCGAAATATTCAATGGCCAGTATAAAACCACCCCCCACAAGCTCCAACGCTCACCCATCGTCAGATAGGCGGAGTCAGTCATCATTCTACCACAGAGGCCCTCTGGATCAGTCCATGTCGTCCGACATCTTAGAAGGAGAGCGTACCAGACAGAGGCTGAATGGTAGTCCTGATATGACTACGCCCACATTATCAACGTGGACTATGCTCTTAAATCTCCATATCACCCTTATCTCCAAATCCAGCAGCTGTTGAATGTCGGCAGACCAATGAAAACTTAAGAGGATGAATTCACAGTGAACTTCTGCAGTTTTAGGGTGCAGTTCGGCTTGGTGGGGCATCAAGTGCTGCTTAGCGAAGATTGCACAGGCTATTTTGTGAAGACCTGCAAATTCCTATAAGCACATTGACGTGCTTGTAACATTTCGCAGCTTTACTTGAGTTTACAGGTCTTACCAAAATGAGACCTGGTAGTTAACATGAATCAACAAAAAGCGAAGGCGAAAAAGCAAAATGCCCCTTCCATGCCGAACAATTCCCAGTTCTAGTCCTCTAATTTGGTCGTGATCAGCTGCTTGCCCCGTCCTTTCACATTCTTTTCACTTCATTATCGATTAGTGCAATGCTTAAATAAATCTGCGGGGGTAGGTGTAATGTGGTGGTGGATCGCCCTGGGCTGTGATCACAAGGAACAAGAGAACAGCTGCAAGGAAAAGATGAACAGAACATCGGCAGGACTACGAAGAAACTCATGAGAAACGAGAGAAAACAGAGCAAATTCTATGGTGTGAACAAAATAAGAAAAAATGACAAATGGAAATTCCTAGCGAATTCCAATGAAAATATCAAGGGAAACAGGGGAGCATAGAGAGGGCGGAGAAAGAGTATGTCAAGAGATTACTGTACAAAGAAGCAGACAGTGCAATAACGAACCTGACAAGTGACCGTTCCATCAAAGTGTCGCGTTACATCTTTAATTATGAGAATACAAATACCGTCTTCAGAGATGAATCGGACCTGTAAGTAGTCAACTGAAGATAGAAATGGCCGATTCTCAGAGGCAGTTAGTCCTTGATAAATTCTTAAGAGGTTGAGAGGCTTTTAGGTAAGCAAAAGCCCTAGAACGGCGATTCTAACCCTAGTAAGAGGTAGTCCCAGAAAAACAGTAGTTAGGGCAGGTCGCAATATTATCTAGAGAAGTAGGTAAAGCAGTAAAGGTCGAAGAAAGCAATTACCTTCTCCGATTCACTCAGTGGTATTCCATTGATCATCCAGGTAATATCTGGATTTGGATCGCCCGTGATAACTGATTTAAAGCATTGTGGCCTCGAATAAACAAAAGTTTTACTACATGTAAAGCTATTATACCAAAAGTAAAGTCCATTCGGAATTTTAGGTCCATCTCTTAAATAAATCCATTATTTGGGGAGGTTTTTTTCTAACTGCAACCTTGGAATACCTGAAATTCATAATAAGTACCTGAAACTCTGGTGCAACGTGGTTCTTGTCCGGATCAGGTACCACAACCAATTTGGCTTTGCTTTCTTCTGTTCCGAATTCGTTTTGGATTTTCACACAGTACACTCCGGTGTCGTCGGGTTGAGCGTCCCTGAAACACGTTTGTAGGTCATGAAAAATTCAGAAAATGTAAGGTAAAGGGGATCAAGAAAGACGTCAGAATAAAGCCGACTTATGGGCAGTACGCTCTGCCCACGCTGGTCGAACAGGACTTTGAGATTTCCGGACCGCTTTGCTAACCATTACTATCCCTGACATGGCTGCCTCCCCTTCCCCTGCTTGACAACAAATTATTGGGGAAGGTTTGGTGGTATGATCATACGGTAGAACCAGGGGGGGGGGGGTAGCGAAAATTTTTACCTAGGCCAGGACGAGCTCAAGTGTGGGCCACACAACGATTTCTGCCTATTACCTGATTTCGAGTTTAGCGTTCATGCCGTCGTACTCGATTTTGAAATCGTGTGACGGCCGAAGAGGCTGATCGTCGACAAGCCATACGAGTTCGGGTTCCGGCCAACCCTCGACCTGAAATTGACTACCTTGAAATTCAGATTTAAACGGAAGTGCTTATATGGCCCAGTTGTGAGCAGAAATCGTCATATTTATAATCGTGGCGATAGGGAGGGCAAAAAAACATTGTACAAATTTCAATTCAGGCTCTTCCCATTGAGCTTAAGCCAAGCCAGTTGGGTTTTGTGAGGGATTCTGCTAGTTTCCACTGATGTCTACTGTTAGACTCGAGCCAACAGTTTCAGATCTGCAAACCGTGGTATGTTGTGTAACCGACAGAAACTGGCAAAAAGTAACTAGCGAAAGTGCGAAATGCCCTTCCTAAGCCGAACAGTGCCTAAGATAATAATTTTCTTCATAACAGCAAAAAGCTTTCGAGATAATGCAATATCGACAGTAAGGGATGATATTGCGCAGAATACACTTAAATTCCGCTAATTCAGCGGTTGCACATAGTAAACTGGAACATGGAAGGTGGACGTCGTTCATCAATACTTCAATGAGGAAAAACTGTACTGTAATATTATAGCGGTCCGGACCCGTACTTAAATGATACACTTAATATCCAGAAAATAGAGGGGGCGTGGCTGCACGCTTCCTTCGAACATGATGTGAGCGCTTTGGAACGTAGCATTTTTTCGATGACATTGCCGTTTGAGACAGCTGCCACGCCTCCTCACCTGTACAAAAGCGTGGCTCAAATTGCCACACTAATCCTACCATGGCATAGAAGCATGTTCAAGAGTACGCATCTCACACCCACTCGCCTCTGGGATATTTCGCGCTGCGTTGATGTCAAGTGACAAGCTTATCTTAATATGCAGGTAAACGTAGTTGGAGTACACTAATCAACGCCCAGAAATTCAGCAGGGAGGAAGAAGAAGTGAAAATTCGAAAAATTGGCAAAATGGAAAAAAGAATGTAAAATTCCACTTCGCATTCGAATTGAGTTACATCGACTTTTACATCGGCGATCTTTGAGTGCATTAACAAATTTCGGTGGTGCAGCCTCTTTTTCGACCTGAAGCCATCCTTGTTTATTTCATTATTTACTTGCTTATTTGATTATTCATTTTTTCAGTTGTTTATATCTATTTTCACTTTAACCATCTTCAGTAACCAGAAAAAGTCGCCGAGCGCTCACTTTTAGTACTCGGAAGAACGCCGATGTGGACGCTTGACCATATTCATTTGTTGCCATACATGTGTATCGACCTGTGTCATCTACCTGAAATCAATAACGATCGATAGTAGAGCTGGGAGCCTTAAATAAAACCATGGGATCGTCTTGAATCATTTATTGATTACCTGAACTGGATCGATTGTTAGGGCGAAGAAACCGTCTTCATCTGCATAGAACGTATGCCGTTCATCTTCATGGTAATTAGTACATCGTTTTGTACCTGAAATAAATGAGATAAACAGTTGAAAACAAATAAATAAATAAAAAATACTCAGCAATAAGCGGATTATCAGAACAGTTCCTTAGCAGGAATAAGGTAAAATGTCAAAGTCACGAAGAAAACTGCATAGCTGTCGCAAAAATCCGAATATCTGCAGGCACAGTTCGACTTGGGAGGGACATTCTACGTTCGCTAGTCTCCTTTTGATGGTCTCTGTAAGTTAAATACTTCACAATTACGGGTGAGACCTGTAACTCTCACAGGTCTTGCTCTTGCCTAGCTTCACAGAACTTTACAGGTCTCCGCAGTGAGACTGGTCGGTAATCGATGGAGACCAGCAAGTTGCCCCTCCAAGCCGAACACTGCCAAACTGCCCTATAAAAGAGAGCTGCAGGCTTACCATGTGATGCCGTGGCACCTGTGATATCCTGTGACTTTAGGCCTTTTAGCCGACGACTCTTGTAACGTGCGGAATCCGTACTGTGTTCGCGTCACTCGAGTACCCTGCATTTCCAATGTGGTACCGGTTGTGGCTGAAAAAGATACAATTTGACAGCTGCCTTCGAGATTCCGCCCTTTTATTCACGTAGTAGACTTCGTAGTTTGTTTCGTATCAATTTTTGATTCATAACTGAAACTTATTTTGAACCGATCGGATATCGCCGCAATGATCTTGGTTGTAGTTAATTTTTCATACCTCCTCCTTTCCTACTTCGCCTGTACAGTCGAGATCATGGGGAAAGTAAGGGGGAGTGGGAAGCAGGTGAGTGTTACGGTGAACACCGCTATTTAGTCATCAAGAACCATCACGAAACTCAGAACACATTTCAGGATGAGTCTGTTGATGCTGAAAACAGGGCCTACGACATTGAATCGCAGAAATATTGGATATAACCGCTTCATGGCCATATTGCTCCTTGATGATCTCCCCACTTTCCTCACAGTTGAGTAACAAGTTTAAAACTTCTTGAAGCGAGCTGGGAAATTCAAGTAAGGCAATTAACCCTGGGTGTGGGTCTTTGGAGCACTAGTTGGACCAACGATTATCTTCAATAACCGCAGGTCCTCCTATAACTGCTGAAGGGGGAGGTCAATTATTTTTCAGGCTTCTTGTCCTTTGCTAGCTTCATTCTATACGAAGCACAGACCAGTTTTGAGTGAAAGCGACCCCCCTGAGGGCTGATTATTGCCAACAGTCTGTCCGAAGCGTCTGACCTACGCCGGAGTGTTACATATATAGAAACATATATAAGAAGTTGTTACATAATATGATAACACATCTTATACGAGGCGCTTAAAATACGCGCACATTAGCGTAAGTTCAGGGATTTTCCGTGCGTTTATGCAATATTCGTGGTCACGAGCTCAAACTACCTTCTCAAGAAAAGTGTTCAGGAATTCGTTGGGCTTTTGGGTTCGCGCAGAGGCGCTTTGGGCAAGGGCAGGCCGTATCGCTCCAACGGAATGTGAAAGCCTGCAGCGTATCAAAATTCCCGGAAACTTTGATTCATCAATCTTCTATCTCGAACTGAATCTGGTCAGACCTCTGTTCTAAAGTGGGGCAGTAAAAGTGGAACTTTCAGCTTCTCCATAAATTCCTACTAACTTTTTATTTACTCTTTATTTCTGATATTCATAACTTTTGATCTTATTGCTATCTATAATGATCAATAATTGATGATTTTTATGCCACATATTTTGGCGTGTGATTTTTAACTCCAGCTGCCTCTAAAACCTCTGATGACATGTTCAGCAAAGGAACTCGCAAAACATAAATCCTCGCATAGAGCCAAACATTTTTAGGTCAAGTTGTCACAGGATGGTGTTTACGTGTTATATCTAACCGAGCTCCCAAGATTAAACAAAGGTTTCGTAAGGTCATTCCCACGCAGCAGCGGTGGACACGTTCAATGTTCTACACCTGGAAATCATTAAACTTTACATGAACAAGTCAAGTGACTCATGCTATTCGGGCTCCTCCGCTGGATAGTATCTTGTAATAACAAATGGATCCTCTGAAACGATTGGCCGACATATGGTGTTCGCAGGCTTAGATTGACAACTATTCATTACACCTACTGGAATGAGCCCTCAGTAGATCCCAGTGGATTTCCGATGAGCAATAAAGCGCGCTGCGGAACCATAGACAATCAGAAGGAGCGTATGTTGGGTAGCATAAAAAATTAGGTTTTTAGTACTCGACCATTCCTACGGTTTTAAATTATTCATCCACTCACTTCCCACTCGCTCTGGTAACCCCTGGAAGCCTGGTAAGGGTATTAAAAAAACGTGACCAATCAATCCGATCGATATATCGACTATTCATCTTTGAGATAGTAGAGTACAAATAGCAATGAAAAAGAGAAATTTCAAAACAGAACAGTAACTCCCAGTCAATACTGCTAACTTCCGCAGTAAATACTACTGGTAGATCGAACGCGGTTGGGTGAAATTGGCGGGTGCGATTCACAGCTTTTTCCTTGAGTGGATCCACCCTGCTTACTGGACCTAAAGTAGCACAGAATTTAGCTGAAAAATAAAAATTTTTTAGAAAACAATAGGGGTAGGCGGCTACGGAGGGGCATTTATACAATTCGTTGTGCAAAACTGAGGTTACCTGCAAATGCGAGACCTCTGCTCGGCCCAAAGAACCTGGTTCAGCTACTCTGAAACTAACTCCTAAACTGGTTCAGCTACTCTGAAACTCTACTCCTAAACTTGCGATGAGTCGTTGTTTCTATCACGGCTATCCCAGTTTTGCACAAAGAGTCCTTTAAATGCCCCCCCCCAACCACCTAGCTGAAGTTCCTCTGCATACATACAACGTAAATGAACTGATCAACAGAACAAGTCACTCTGGACAAAGGACTACACAAATTAAATAATTACTTATGGAGTAGCTTTACATTGATTTATTGATTTTGTGCGATTATTGATTTTCCGATGCTTGACGTTTCTGATCAATAGCTGTGCAATTGAAACAGTGCGTGTGCGTCACGTTCAAGATGTTCTACGCAAACAAACATCAAGTGCTACACACGTGGAAAAGTCAACTCGCAACGCAACCCAAATCCCACTGATAAGTTTTGCTCCCTGCACTAATCAATACCGATCAATAGTCCATGTGCCATTTTTAGGACCCATTAGACGAAGAGTTTGTTGTAGTCCGCTATAGGTTTCAGTTAGATACACGAAAAACGCCACCACACATCACACATAGAGAGCTGATCAGTCGCTTCCTGTTTTTCGGCCAGAAATCGATAAATCAATAGAAAACGGGCTGATCAGCTCTTCTAATCAATACGAGTTCAGTGAATACCAGCAGCATGGGTACTACTTCTGCGTGACCCAGAATATTCGCTGAATTCGGAACGCATATCACTGAGATGCATGTCGTATTCGGATATCGATGTTTCCGTCTCATGTTCACGTTCAGCAGCTAAGAAAATCAATAAAATTAATCGATAAAGTACTCACACCATGACGGATCAACAAGTTCCAGGCCGCCTTCGTGAGTATCCGTCAACTCGATAATATAAAGCGTTTTAAGCACCATAGTTGCTGATTAGATCGAATCGCTGAGGATAAGATTCGTGAATGGGGGGACACACCAGTGGGGAGCTGGTGCCTCCTTGGGAGGGGTGAGTCGATGAGGGGACAGGCAATAACAATTCAGGAACAGAATAAAGTGCGAGTGTGAAATGTGTCTAGAGGGTGACAGAGTTTTCCGGAGATGACGCGTGGGTGGACTGGGCTAGGAATCAGTGCCAGCGCATAGCTCTTGCCGGCTCAAGTGTGAGCGGCAGCAGCAGCGGATAGCGGTGGCGGAGGTTACACGGGGATGGGGGTGAGGAGATAGCGGAGGTTCTGCTGAGGTATGCTAACGGCTGTTCCAGGGCTGATAAAGAAACGGCCGTCTCGAGAGTCAGAGCCTGCGCGACGCGTATTACAACCCGAATGAGGCGGCGGCGGTGGTGGAGGATTGTGAGGGCTGGCTGGTTAACTGGACGGATAGCTTGCTGGCTGGCTGGCTGGCTGTCCGCTGCTGATGTTGCCGATCAGGCGATGATCACAACGTGTGTGCCAATTGTGTTATGCCCCCTCCAGGTAGGCTATACCATTGTCCCGAGCTTTACTGCTACTTATGATCGCCCCCTCCTTCAACAGATGAGTTGACAGGCGACCATGAGACGTCTCATGGCCATACACGCAGTGATAATTCCTCCTTTGAGCTTGGTCCAGTAGCAGCGCTAGCCCTTGAAATCTGATATTTTGGCCTTTGACATCGCTGTGTTCTCTTTTTCCCGAAAACAAACCTTGTGCAATGTTACTAGGATTTTTTCAACCCAAATCAAGTATTTGAGGGAAGCTTTTTAGCGCTGACAGAATGCGCCACGCCGTCAATTTCCATTGAGAATACAAGAGGTAGTAGTTG